AGACCCAACATGTAAGGCCAACAGTTTGGAGTTCTCCCTGTGGCCATCCAAGAACTGCAGTATTCTCCGAAACCCTGTTCCGATTATGAACCACATAAGCCCCTGATAAATACCCTTTCCCTCTACCCTCATACGATGAATCCCTAAATGGTACATGAACCTGAAACTTTAGGGTTGTCTTGATCCTTGAGGCACATAAAACTCCTCAAAGGGTATCCCAAGGATCGCACGATCAAGAAGCAAAGTTCGATGTGACTCCGTGGCGAGCTCATCTATCACCTGCGAAGGGTTTCTCAGGGACATGAGATTAGGGTTCAGGGCTTAGGAAACTGTGGGTCTAGGGTTTAGGGCTTCGAGTGTAGGGTTTAGGGCGTAAGGTTTAAGGCGTAGGGTTTAAAAGTTTTGAGTTCAGGATTTTAGAGTTCCACGAGTCCAGATTGGAGCCTGAGCTTTATGTGTTAGACTTCATGCAGGTTTAGAATGGCATATGGGCTTACTTGAAGGCTCATGGGACTTGAGCAAGCAAGTTTATAGATTGTCTATAATAACAATAACCCTGTTTAGGGTGCTTGCAACCCCAAATATGCTTACGAAGTCCTGTGAGCCATAAGTAACGGGTGCGCAGGCTTTAGCTGGATTTTTCATGTAACGGAGACATTTAAGAGTCTGGAAACGTCTAAGGGTTTAGTTTATGGTTCAGGAAGGTGGGTTCACTCCGGATTCTTTTTACGAGCATTTTATTGGAACAAACACATGGTTCTGAAAAACGTATCTTGTTGTAGCTGAGGACGGCCATCCAGTACCAACCCCTGCGGACTCTGCAGCTCGGTGAGACAGGATCATTGCCTGTGACTCAACCCTGATACTCGCGTAAGCCTAACAAACCATGAACCAGCTTCAGCATCGCAGAGGAAATAGCACACATACACACACATTCTCCCTCCCGCTCTCTCACAAAACCCAAACCCCAAACCCTACTTAATAGGGTTATAAGTACGGTAACTATACATTCAAGTACTTAGAACCCCAATTACGGTACTTATAACCTGCCTTACTAAGTCCCACGATCCTTGGAGTTCAGCCATTACCCCGCCTATCAAACCTTAACCCTAAACCCTTAATCCCTAAACCCTATAACCCCTGACCCCTAAACCCTAAACCCTAAACCCTTAATCCCTAAACCCTAATTACCCTAAAGCCCTAACCCCTAAACCCGAACTCTAAACCATAAACCCTGAACGAGCGTGACATGGCCCTGCGCTCGTTTTAGGGACCCCCGGGCCGGCGAGCAGCAGCTCACGCTGCTCTCAAAGTTCTAAAAGATCATGGCTTCAGGTTTGGGTTTAGGGTTTAGGGTTTAGGGTTTAGGCTTCAGGTTTGGGTTTTCCTCCAATGTTGGGGCCTTAACAGCATTGGCAATACTAATAATAGTAATAATCGTAACCGTAATCATCGTAAAGAAATAACGAAATGGTTTGGAATTTATGCGTCTTTCAAGGAAGGGTTTAGGATTTAGAGTAGATCATGGCTTCAGGTTTGCGCTTCCTTCAATTTAGGGGCCTGAGTCACCAAATTATCGCAACGAAAATAACTACGGTTTAGTTTAGGGTCTAGGGGCCTTCAATGGCCTAACTAGCAAGCATAGGGGGTCTTGGGGAGACTATCAGTAGAACAGGGGTTACAAAGGGATAGCATTACTTAGAGGGTCATGGGACTTACAAGTAAAGTTATAAGAAGAAATAACCAACTTACTAAAACCCATTTATCCTCTAAGTAGGTTTGGGAGAGGCGTACATTGGGCGTATCCCAGGTGTGGGGCTTGGGACACATGCCCAACGAACGAGCACCACACATGGTCCAGGTCCTGCTAATCGTCGTCTTCATCATCAGCTTCAACAACCTAAGCTTCTTATTCTTGCTCTAGGATGCCCAGTAACCTAGGAATAAAAAGGGCCCCCTATCTGGCATTGGGCATATATATATATATATATATATATATATATATTTATTTATATTTATATTTATATTTATATAAGGAACCTAGGCTACAAAAAGGGAAAAAGGGCCCACTGGGAGGCCTAGCGCTTGTTCTTATTCTTCGTAGTTGTCGGTATGTTAATCCCACCATCACGATAGATTTCGAAGACAATGCTACTATTATGAATAGTCACTATTGAAATTATTACGACCATTAGCAATGCTCATTAGCCGAATGGCTGAGGCTTCTGCCAGGAGTGCAAATTCTTAGTTGCTGAGTGCATAAGCCCGCCCCAAAAGTGTACACTTTTGGTTTTACAGTGGGTAGTATTATCCCCAAAAGTGTAAAGTGTATCCACTCAGCTACTAGGAATTAGATACATTGCAGCATCCGATCTTTGACGCGATCCGCAACATGTCACGAACGGAAGCCCTGGACTCTGCGCTCGCAGAATTTGGGGTTTAGGGTATAGGGTTTAGAGGTTGAGGGGTTTAGGGTTTAGGGTGTAGAGGTTTAGGGGTTTAGGGTTGAGGTTCCTGTGAACGGTTGAAGGTCTTTTTTCTCTAGGCGCTGTAGCCTAAAACTGAAAATCCGGGCTTGCAAACTCTGAAGCCAAACAGCCCAAAGCGAAGACAACATATCCGTGAAACGGCTTGTTGGTAGGCTTGGTGCTACGGTTCCACGGACCCTGAGTCGTCGGGAATTTCGCAGCAGGCCGCAAGCCTTGCACCTGAATCCGACTATAGGGCTTTGGGGTACAGTAGAAGCCCAAAAGTTGGAAACCCAATAGCCTCAACCCTTAAGAGTAATGTATAGGGAATCCCAGCACTATTTGGCCTTAATCCGGTTTCCCACTTTTTGGGGTCTACTAGAAGGGCTAGGGCTTAACCCTTGGGTGAAGGGCCCTTCCGAGTCCTACATGTCTTTGTCCTAAATCTGATGGCCCAAATACAGCGACCTGGATGAATTCAATAGAATAGAGTTTACCACGGGCCATATCACAGTGTAACTCGGTAGGGACCTAGGTTGGCCCTTTAAAGCCTTGGAAAGTATTCGACAAAAACTGATCCTCTTACGCCCAGTAAGGGGAAATATGACATGTCCAAAACGCCTACCTAGAAGACTTCTAACATGCGAGTGCTAGTTGCTAGTGCTACTTATTCAGGCGCAGCAACCCTAAACAAACCCCTAAGGTCCCTACAAAAGAACCTTGACTTGCTGGCAAAATGGGAGTTTCCGAAAATAGGGAACCCTCATATCGTACCCAAAACAGTCGGATCCTTATTACAAGGACCCCCAAAATCAGGTACCGCCAATGTTCGGAAACTCCCAAATGGCTCTAGGATTTGCGGCCTGGGGGCCTCTATACTGGCAGGGCCATTAGTCTAGGGTTTGCAGGAGGTAGGTGCTATGCATCTTCTTCACTTGAGTTGGACTGCTAAGTGAAAAGCAGAGGGCTCTACTTAAAGGGTTATGGAACTTAGTAAGGTTAGAAGTAGGTCATATGTTAGGATAACCTACTTACTAAGTCCCATGATCCTCCAAGTATGGTCTTTCTGCTTGTGTCCAGCCCCGTTTTCTGGTTCAACTTCGGGATCACAGGGTCGAGAACGATGGCTCCAATAGAGAGGCCTTAGTTCCCCTGCATTAAGGAATCTAGCTTAAATCATAATCTGAAGCCCCTTCAACCCTAACCCTAAACCCTAAACCGTGGCTCGTGATATGAAGCCCCTTGAAGTTCAAGGTATGTCCCTTAATTAAGGGGCAGGTTTCGGCGCTCTGTTTTCCTCGGGGCTCCTTCTGCTCCATGTGCTAAACAACATCCCCCAAGCGGGTCAGGGTTGAGAGTTTTACTACTCACAATATACAGGCCCATGCTACTCAAATCCGGAGCGAAGGCCTTAACCTAAACCGCACTGAAGGCCAAATTCGGCACACAACATGGAATTCCCACCCTCCGTAAGTTTACCCTGAAAAGGCAAGGGACTACAAGAGGCCATCATCGGGAAAGTCTGACGTCACAGTGGCCCGAAGAACCCGAAGCCTTCATAAGATAGTTGTCTCACTTCTCCATTGCGGCTTGCCACGTGAGGTCAGAAGAAGGCAGCTTTATTCTAGTAAAGGTGTCAAGCATTGTCTCTCTGACAGCTGCCTCGGATACTTCTCTTCTAAACTCTTGATCCCTGAGCTTAAACCCTCCACCCTAAACCCTAACCCCTAAGCCTCGTTGACCCCAAAGCCGCTCAAGTCCATCGGCTGCATGGCTATGGTCATTTTACCTTTTGGGCTTTTTTGGTGGGATCTTGGAGACTCAAAAAACCTGAACATTGTGTAGGGCCGTGGTTTAAATCCTTGTAGAGCCCTGGGCCCACCAAAATCCAGAAACTTGCAGGGCGCATAGACTTTCTTTTTTGAAATTTATAATAAGAACCAGCAAAAAAGTAGGTCGTAGTAGATTAAGGTAGGCCTGGGTATTCGGAGAACCAGCTAAATTCAAACATAAGGTTTTGGGGTTAGGGGAAGCCAAGAATACAAGTCTCGACTTACAATGGCTGCAAGTGGAGAGCGGACTGGATTCCGAGTCTGGTGAAACCGAGCAGGTGTGAATTCTTGCATCCGGTGCCTCTGATAGTGTTTGGATCAGAGCTTTTAGCTCTAGAATTCAAGAGTTTCAGGATAAGGGTTTGTGTATGCGGGTCCTGGTCAAAAAAAGCCTATGCGCTTCGTCACGACAAACTCCGAAACCCGATATTATTTGGCTGAGTCGGAACGATTTCCCGTCTTACGGTTCTGTCAAAACGAACCCTACCGAAGAACCCTAAAACCCTTGTGAGAACCCTTAACAACAGCTTCCTGCAGAGAAGCCAGCTGTTTGCCCTAAACCGTAAACACAAACTCCGAGGGTTTAGCATCTAGGGGTTTAGGGTTTAAGGGTTAGAAACCCTAAACCCTAAACCGTGGAGTTTAGGGTCCTAGTCCTATGGGTCGTAAGGCCCCGAAGCACACCTGCCCTTGCCACATCTCACGGCAGCTTTCTCGAGGCCTCCGCTTTCTGGATCTCCTGAGGCCGGGATCGCGGCGTAAGGGCTGCGGTGTAGGGCAGCTTTGGGTTCAGTGCTTGACCCTAACTAGGATACCCAGTAACCTAAGAACAAAAAGGACTCTCTTTTTGGTATTGGGTAACTTTATAAGGAACCTAGGACTACAAAAAAGGAATAAGGGTACTACTGGGCATCCTAGCTAAACCCCAAACCGCTAAACCCTTAACCTTAAGCCCTAAATCCTGAACCCCTAAACCCTGAACCTTAAACCCCGAAACCCTGAACCGTAGGCGTGCAGGTATAGGGGTTTGGGTACTGGGTTTAGTTAGGATTCAGGAGTTGAGGGCTGAGGGTACATACCTCAACCCGAAAACCTATCTTTTTAAGGACGTATCTAAGGAAATCGCATGAAGGAGCCCCAAATAGGTAGGTTTCTTCGGGCCCAGGTAGGGCTGCCTAAAGGCTCATGGGACGTATTAAGTAAGGCTCTAAGTAGGTTATAATTAGGACACCACCTAGGGGACTTATAACCCCGATTATAACCTACTTACTAAATCCCATGATCCCCTAAGTAACCTAAACTCCGCCTTACAGAACCCTTATAGATCCCTTAAAGGAACCCCTATGGATCCCTTAAAGGAACCCTACCCTTTAAGGAACCCTAGTTACTAAGTGCGAACCCCGTACACACCAAAGCCTAAACCCGGAACCCCCGGCCTGAGGCTGTGGTCTCGTCGTCGTCGTCGTCGAAGTTGTAACAGGAATATGTAGTCATATTTAGTAGCAGTAGTAGTAGTAGTAGTAGTAGCAGTAGTAGTAGTAGTAGTAGTAGTAGTAGTAGTAGTAGTAGTAGTAGCATGTTGATCCCTTTTTGGGCCTTTTATACACTATTAGTCTCTAGAAACCCTAAACCCTAAACCCTACTAGAGGCTTTTGGGAGGCCCTGCTGTAGACCCTGCACCCCTAGAGCCTGGAGCCCTGGAGTCCTCGAGCCTTGGAGCACTACACCCTGAACAACCCTAAACCCTCCTTTAAAGGAGCCCCTCAACCCTATAGATCCCTATAATACCCTATAGTACCCCTAGAGATCCCTTTAAAGGAGCCCCTCAAGCCTAAGCCCCTACAACTTACACCCTAAACCCTACCTAAGATACCCAGTAACCTAAGAATAAAAAGGCCTCTCTTTTTGGTATTGGGTAACTTTATAAGGAACCTAGGGCTACAAAAAGGGAATAAGGGTACTACTGGGCATCCTAGCTACAACTTACACCCTAAACAGCCCGAAATCCTAAACTCTCTCGGCCCCGGGACCCCAGACACACTCTCACCCCAACCTGAACCCTAAACCCCACATCCGAAACCCCAAACCCTAAACCCCAAACCCCAAACCCAAGACCCAAAACCCTAAACCCGCAACCCCGAAACCCCAAAACCCCAGACCCCAACCACCAAACCCTAAACCCTAAACCGCAAACCCCTAAACCCTAAGGCCCTAAACCCCAAATGCCAAAACCCCAGACCCTAACCACCAAACCCTAAACCCGAAACCCTCACTGCCCCAAAACCCAAGGAAATAAAAGTTGAAACTTTCAGAACCGACTTACCTTATAAGAACCCCAAAAGTTGAAAAGTTGAGTCTACAGCCAATAAGAACAATAAACCTTGAGGCCCTAAACCCCAAACTCGCCTGGTGGAGGAGATCGAAAAGTCGCCTGGCGAGGACTTCTCCCGCAGCTTTGGGTTTGGGTTTCCCGAGCTATACCTTAAGGACGAAATGAACCCTAAAGGGATTCATAGTATATGGGCAAAGGGACCCTACTTTTAAAGGTCATTTGGTCCTTCAGGTAGGATTTAGGGCTTTAGGGTTTCGGGCATTTGGGTTCGGGCTTCCAGGAGTATTGTAGGGTGGAGGGCCTTGGGGTTTAAATAGCGTGTAGTGTGTGGGGCCTAGGGTAGAGTTTAGGGCCTTAGGGTCTAAATCGGGCTTAGGGTTCAGGTTCTGGGTTCTAGGATTTGGGTTTAGGGTTTAGGGTTTAGGGTTTAGGGTTTAGGGTTTAGGGTTTAGGGTTTAGGGTTGCAGCTTGGGGTTTGATTTTCCTGCCAAGGAGGTAGCTCTCCACACGTAGCCGGAACCTGTCCCCGCCCCGGTGCTTCTTCAGCACGCCGTCCTCCCAGCAGCAGTTCAAAGGGGCTCGAAGAGGTGCCCGTAGTCCCTGGCGAAGCCGCGCAAGCCCTTGTCGTAGATCTTCTGGGCCTCCGGCAGGTACTGCAGGAAGACGTTGTCGCCCTCCGGCACCAAGACGGTGCCCTCCAGCCACGGCGTTGTGCTCTGCGCTGGGTCTCCTCGGGCCCGAATTACAGAGTACTCGCCATTCATTCCAGCGCCGGGAGTTATAAGAGGGCCTTCGGGTGTAGGGCTTCAGGGTTTGGGGCCTCAGGGTTTAAGGATTCAGGCCTTTAGGGTTTAGGGCCTTACCTAGGGTTTAGGGCTTTAGGGCTTTGGGGTTTTAGGACTTTAAACGGAATTCCAGAAAGTTGGAATATGGATTAATGGTGGGATCCCCTATATTTTACCTTAAAGGGGTTACGATAATGATATTCCAACTTTCTGGCTTCTACCGTAGGGGTTTGCAGGGTCTGCAGTTTAAGGTTCGGAGATCGGGCCTCGGGGTTTCGAGGCCTGCAGGGTTCAGGGTTCCCAGAGCCTGAAGGACCAAATGACCCTTAAAAATAGGGTCCCTTTAAGCCCATATACTATGAATCCCTATATGGTATATGGACCATAAACCCTTTTAGGGTTCATTTCCTCCTTAAGGTAATCCTACTAGAATTTAAGGTATATACTCCTCAATTATATAAGGCATATTGGAGTCTCTAGGTTGACGTGGCCACAGGGTGTGGGTTTGGAGACTATTTCGGGGTGTAAGGGACCGTAAGGTTCAGGCTGGAGGGCTTTAGGGTTTCAGGGCTTTAGGGTTTAGGGTTTATAGGGTTTCAGGGCTTTATAGAGTTCGGCCTCGGGCCGTGGACCCATGAGAAGAATAAATTCGTAGTCGAACAATCCACTGGTGTACTGCTATACGAAAAAACTTCGATTCTATGTTACGGTCTAGGAAATCCGCCCTCCTTGCCTTCCCTTGCGCTCAAGGCCGCTACAGAGCTGAACGCAGCCTGGGCCAGCAGATTGCGATTTCAGCTGATTCAAGATTTCTGGCACGAAGGGTTTCAGACTCGTGGTTTCGAGTCTGCAGATGTCTGAACTCGTGAGGACTGGAAACAGCTCCCAAGTCCAGCACCTTAGCCCCCGAAGCCGAAAAAACCCTACCTGTTTAGGGTCCTTACTATGCCTGTTTATTCCTAGAAGAAAGGTAAACTTTTTGGGACACAGGTACACCCTAAACCCATAGCCTTACACCCCAGGCCAGAAAGCCCTGAGTCTTAAAGTCCCACAGCAATACATCCTAGAGTCCTAGACCCTACAGGGAACTCCAGAAAGTTGGAATATGGTTTCATGGTAGGATACCCTATAATTTACCATAGAAGTGTTAGGATAATCATATTCCAACTTTCTGGCTTCTACCTTAAAGCCCGATGCTCTCAACCCTAAAGCCCAATGGCCCCACACCCGCGACGCTGCTTGATCCTACTAAATGGATCAGGGCACTTAGAAAGTAGGGTTTAGGGTTTAGGGGTCAGGGCACTTAGAAAGTAGGTTATTATAATTGGCGCTAGAGGTCCCCTAAGTGGGGTTACTAGTACTAACAGACCTTGCTGTGTTTCTCACCGCCTGCACCGAACCTCTTCAGAGCGCATCACCCTCAAGAATTGCCCCAAACCTCAAGCCTTGAATGGCGGCGTGAGTACTAGACTGACGATTGACATGTAGTATGGTTTCGCCGGCAAAACATCAGAAAGCCCTAAACCCTAAACCCTCAACCCCAAACAGAGAACCCTACAACCTACAACAAGTTGGAAGGCTTTGGGCCCGAGTATCTTCGCCGCTGAGCCACGGCACGCCCTTAGGGTTTATAGGGTTCTTTAGGGTGTAATCATAGGATTTAATAGGGTTTAGGGTATGCTCAAGAGAAGGCATCTGAAAGGAGAATCCAATATCTTACTGACGAGCATTCAATCCATGAAATGCGAATGAGCCTGAAACGCGCAAGCGTAGCAGTCTCGTCAAAAGCACTGAACTCGGAAGCCTTAATCCCACGTTTGTGTCCGACGCTGCAGTCATCTCCAAGTGACCCGGCATTGTAAAAAGACAGACGAATCCTTCCACCCGCGCGCCTCTAAATGCCTCCACATAAGTTCCTCGCCGACACCAATTCTTAAGACGGACCCCAAAAACCGTAAACCCTACAGGAAGTCTATGCAACGCTTACTACAAAGAAGCGATGAACCGTTTTAAGACACAAGAAGGCGTCTCGAAATCTGAACGTGTTTCGGGCTTATAGGGTTTAGGGGTTCGGGTTAGGGTTTAATTGAAATCTGAACTTCTCCGAGTGGCGGTTCTCCGTGAGGCGAACCAGCATCTGCCTCCGCAACGCTAGGTTGCAAGCTTTAGGTTTCCAGGGTTCCTGTACAAAGTTCTTTCCTTTGAGGCATTTTTTCTTTACCTTTCTATAACCCTAAGGGTCCATGTGCAGAACTTTTGCTGGCCGTAACGTAACCATATGTAGAGACTATTTCAATGCCACAGTCTGTACATGTCGACTGAACGGAGCTTAGGGCTTGGGGCTCAGGGCTTAGGGTTCAAGGAACTTAGTAGGTAGGATAAGTACCCTAAGCAGGGTTCTCCTAACCATAACCGTACTTGTAACCCATAACGTACTAAATCCCATTAGCCGTTCAGTATACTAATTGGGTACACGGACACGTAGGGTAAGGGTTTGGGGCCTCCAGGGTTTCGAGTTTACGGTTTTCGGTTTTCGGGCTCCAGGACTTTAAGCCTTTTGGGATTAGGATTTGGGGTTTAGAGTCTAGGCGGTTCAAGCTCGAAATAAGGGTTCATGTGAGGGTTGCCGCTGTCTTTAAAAGGCAACGTTTAAGGTGTTGCTTCGGGTTCCCCAGTGACTCCTCAATATGGCACCCCTTCTTCTACTGTGATTCCCATTCAGTTTATTGAAGCGACCCCGGACCCCTTAAGAAAGGGTTTCACATAGGGGCCTAGGTTGTTTAGAGATTGAGTAGTGAAGAATAATTAACAAGTTTAGTAAAATTTAGAGTTTAGGGCTAGCAATTCAAGCAGCGCATACCCGAAATCCTGAACCCTAGACCGTATTTGGCAATCCTCGGGAAGGCTCTTAGTACTTATCCTGGCACCTTGGTTGTGAGCACTACTGGGAAGTAATGCTTCATAGGCACGTATAAAACCCTGATCAAAAGCCCTACTAAACCCCATAAAGACCACATCAATATCATTCCAAAAGCCTATTATAAAAAAACCTATAAAATCCCTACAGTGGCCCCAGAACGGACAGCGGCATAGTCGGATAGAGGTCCGTATTCCGGTGCGGGTTGTACAGGACATTGGAGTTTAGGTTTTTTTAGGTTCTTAAGAATTAGGCTCTAGCCGCTAGAATCTCGGCATTAGGGCTTAGGAATCAGGGTTTGGCAGCAGATCTACTCCGCCAGCAAGCCATGAACAAAAGAAGCATCCTCTTGTATACTACCTGGAGGCTCATACCTTACCCCTTCTTTAGGGTACCTACTTTTGTAACACATCCTACCCAGAAAGCTCGGCATCCTAAAAACACGTGGCAGGCTATGAGCCTCCAGTACTGGTGAAGGAAGCATTAACTGATTGCATCGCTTAGAGGCTCCTTCGCTGTAGTTTGAGGTTCGGACTCAGAAGTCAGAGTTCGGGGAGGGTTTACAGGGGTGTATATGGGCTTTGAGCTTAAGCAGGGTTTAGGGCTTGGGGGCCCCTTGGGGTGTAGACTTGTAGCCCAGGGTATTCTTAGTTGCTGAGTAAAGTGTACACTTTTAGTTTATAGTGGATAATATTACCACCCAAAAAATGTAAAGTGGATCCACTCAGCTACGAAATATTGAAGCCGGTTCCTTACACCACTGCTGGGCTTCATTGCTAGTTGACCAGTTGGAGACGGATATCGTGGATGTTCAATTGCCGCAAGCCAAAGAGGCGACGGCCCCACATTTAGAGTTCACGAGTAGGGTTTGGGATTTTAGGGTTTCGGGCTTAGGCTACGCCACGTCCGAATTGCACTGTTCCAGTCTGTATTAGGGATCATGGTATACAAGGGCGGCATACAGCTGCCACAGTGGGCGCGGCATTGAAGGTTTAGCCGTTCAAACAGGTGGAGGCTATTGGCTGGATTACTGCGTGGAGTCCTATATCATGTGCTCTGAAGCCATCCAATATTGGAAGGCAAGCAGCCCAGTGCAGCCGCTCGGTAAGGCATCAGCTGCGTCTTGGAACTGCCCGCCTCAAAGTGTTGGGTGGGGAACGGGCGGTGTAGGACTTCCCGACACTATGGGCTTTGGTTTAGATGCTTATCCTTCTGTTCATCCGACTTGCCGTCTTTTCCGCCCTCACCCTCCCTACGCTTGTAGCATTTGACGGTTCCGAACTCAACCCTTTCAATGCTGGCCATGACTCATGACATCAGGTTCGGGACGATAATCAAAGCAATGCAATCAGAAAACGTACGGTATAGTTGTGCTGCTGCGGTGTAGGGTCGAGGGTTTAGGGATATGTACAGCATTGTACAGTAGTAGTCAAGACTACCATCATCATGATGCACCAGCCTGAGCACCAGCATCGAGCCACCAGAATTATATGAATTCCCCCATAACGGCATAGCCACGTGGTTTTTGGCGAAGCCTTCACCAACCTGACACCAACCGATGCTGACCCCTCGAACACCCTGTAAATTCCTACACCCTACACCGCTGTGTACGATGAACCCAAATCCTAAACCGTGTAGACAACAAGCCCCCGAACCCGTCCAACGTGGGAGCTGCTGATTTGGGGGTACACTACAGTGTGATTTTATGGGGTTTCCGAAACTAGGGGACCCAAATATAGTATATACCCTAAATAGTAGGATCCTTCTTATGTTGCTGCAAAGGTGCCCATGAGGTTACACAGCCATTCGAAGACCTCGCGGCAGAAGTCCAAACGCTCCAGAGTTGGATGGCTTAGGAGTCGAGATTTGAGAGTTTTCGAGAATTAGGGGTACCTTATTTGGGGGTCCGTACAATAAGGATCCATAAAAATCCTACTATTTAGGGTGCTATACTAGGGTCCCCTATTTTCGGAAACTGCCATGTAGGTTTGGACTGTAGGACTGTAAGCAGTGCTGCTTCGTGTCCCTTCGAGTTCTGGGGGTAGTCAAGCAGATTTATACAATATAGGGGCCTTAATTGACAATATTTTGGGGGTTCCTTAACATACTTATAGAAACATATACCCCCAAACCCTATTCTAATAAGGCCCCCATAACTATATAACCCTAGTAGACCCCTGCAAGGAATCGTTTTGAGGAACCCTTTAAAGGAGCCCGCCCTATTTCTTGAGTGTCCCCAAGAGGCCTGTGGATTTGAGCTATATAGCTATCAATAAATATATTATAAATATATAATTATTATTAAAATAATAGAAAAAGAATTTATGAATATTTATTTAAATATATTTATTAATAAAAATTAAAATAAACAATTTTTATTAAAATTCTTTATTATTTAAATATATTTAAATAAATATTCTGAAATTCTTTATATATCCTTTAACTCAAATTTCTGAATCAAGACCCTCCCCCAGCCCGGCAGTTGGCACAACGTCTCATTTTTTCGCAGCACTCCAGTGAGGTAGCACTCCGCTCTACAGTCGCTCCTTACTGACACGGTCAGCGACCTTTGGCCTCATGCCTCTGCTTCGCCCGCTTGCGAATACGCTCTTCCAGCGACGTGGGAGCATTCCTCGCTCTAGGTGCATCGGCACGGTCAGAGACCTGCGCAAGCGCTGACAGAGCCTGAAGCACGTCCTGCGATCAGGGGACCGTGGAAAAGATCCCAAAATTAATAGTGCATTTGTGATAAAAATAGTGCCAAGCATCCTCCTGGCTGACTGCTCTCCGAAGTGTGTGCGCGGTCGTGGCTTCAGCAGCGGCAGGTGCCCATGAAAAGGATACAAACATGCTCTGCAAGATCGCCAGCACCACTGGGAGGGCCATCGCATTGCCGGCGAGTTCTTGCATCAAAACTTCCGTTGCTGTCCAGGCCTGAGGCCGCTTCACTGCTTCATACGTTGCTAGCAGTGGCAAAACTGGATAGCCTTGACATATCATGGCTTCGCATCCCAGCCATATACGGGATTGTTTCTCGTACCACAGCTGCATTTTCGGCAAAATGGTCGGCAACACATGCACACCGGTGATTGAATCCAGTGTCGGGCTATTCACTCTGCCCACTGCTTGGGAGACATCACGAAATAGCAGCGACTGCGATTGGATCTTGGCCAGCCGTAAGGCATCTTGCTCTCGCTCTGTAAGTGTCTGGTACCACTCATTCTCCTTGAGTTCTCGGGGCACGGCTTCGCCCCAACGAAACTTGAGACTTCTTGCGAAAGACATGTGCGAATCCATCCAAGTCTGAGCCGTGGGTCCCGACTTTGCCTGGAGCTCCCTTCGCTTTTCCTGTTTTTTCTGGCGGATCTCCAGGTCAGAGACCGCAAAAGCATGGTCACTTGGAAGAAAAATCTCCGTGGCACAGCAAGGGGTACGTACGCACGATGACATGACGGCCCGTACCGTTGCAAACATGGATGAAATGGACCTCTCACCAAACTCCATGAGTGCCGAGCCCGCTGCTTTCCTGGGCGGAATACCGGAATGCCGTCAATGCCAAGTTATAAGTTATAAGTATAAGTATAAGTTGCCGAAATAAAATGAATCAGTACTCTAGTACTACTTATTACTACCAAGTCGTCACCACCACTACCTACGACTACTACCTCTACCACTACCTCGCAAACGAGAGCAACCCGCTACCATTGCAACTACTGGGACTGTGATGTGATGTAATACCGCTACGACTACGGTAGTGGCACTGCCGCTGCCACGGGCACAACTGCTGCTACAACGACTACCTCTTCTCCAGTTAAAGCCAAGCATCAGGAAAAGCACGTACACACGCCGCCTTCTAGCCGGCAGCCCGAACATTGCAGCATCGCTCATGATGACTTGGTTCTCGTATCCACGGTTCGACATTTCTGCGAGCAGAATATCGAGATTGGAAGTAGCATCGCCCCTGTCGTCCATGGTATCTACATTCTCGAACACGACGATGCTCGGAGAGTGATTCTGCACATATGCCAGCATGCCACGGAAGGTTTGGGCTGACCCTCCCTTCCTAGGCTTAACAGGCACTGATGTCAAACGTTATCGTGACTACGATGTAGACTGACAACTAACGAATACGACTCACGACTTAAGACTTTAGTAGACGCAGAAACAGTAAACACTCAGTTCCAGCTGGACGTACTCGTCGCTTTTGGTAGCTAAGTTGCGAGGTCTCGCGCAGGAGTACCGCTTCCTTCTGCTTGTGTTTATTTGGATTTGCTCGTGACATGTCTTTGCAACTTGTCCCGAGAACCAGGATATCCACCGTTGGGATGGAACACTTGCCTTGCGAATCTACGGGGCCCGGGCCGCGGTCGGAGACCCTGGATGCCGTAGTCTGCTTATGCCTCCCATGAACGGCACAGCAAGCCTGATCTGCGCCCAAATCGCATATATCCGTAAATATGCATGGATCAACCTGTTCTTCTGGATCCACGTCCTGCGACGGCTCACTCCCGTCACACTGCTGTTTGATCTTGTCCATGCAGCCCCTTGCACATGAATTGACCATAGAAATCCACTCGATCTTTTCCTTGTTATTCTCGCAACTGAAAACATGCCTGAATGAAAGATCTTCCCCCCTCTCGGCTGCAAGGATACGTAATGCTTCAAAGCAAAACTTTATTCCCTCCGAACCACTACAGCAAGATGCCCAGGTCAGAGACCGTGTTGGCCAAATAGGGCGACCTGTCATCTCTTCTGCAACATCCGCATTCTCTCGCGCTGCTTGCAACAACCAAGTGCCATCACGCAAGGCTTCTGCTGAGATACGTCGGGAGCGACCTTGCTCCATCCAGGATTCCAATTCGAGAGGGTCCACCGTAGCATGCCGTCTCAATTGTCGAGCCATGCCACTCAATGGATAGAAGGATCAATGGTCAATGGTCGTCAATGGGCCAATGGATCAATAATTAATAATAATCAGATACGACCCTAGGACACAAGCCAATACGATCTACTATTTAGCCCCTGATATCAGAATAGAGCTAGACTTAAACTAAACTTACTTAATGCACTCTGAAACTGAAGCTGAAGCCACACAGTTGATGAAGCAACTCAACCAATCATGCAGGCAAGAACTACTTGACTACTTGAATCAAGCACTGCATCATGCATTCATGTCACTCGCATTTTTTCGGCCGCGACCATTGCCATCGTAGGCAGAGATTAATCTCAGATGAATCTGAATGCCTGGGATCAGCCTCTCTGGCTTCTCAAGCTTTGCCGCACATGACTTGACGTGAGTCGTTAGCGGCTGGCATCAAAATCAAAATGAGCCCAATCGGCGGCAGGATTAGGTACTGTCAGAAATCGACGGATTGTTCAGATTGAGCCTCCAGCCACACCCCAGGCCAGAGGCCGCCTCACGGATCATGCCGAGTTCCGATTGGCCATCATCTTCGCCAGGCCCATGCCGCTTGCCACGGGTTCCTTTCTGGTCTTGCCTTTTCCTCTTCCCTTGCCCTTTCCCGGCTTGGCCTTTTCTGCTGTTGCTGCTGATGGTTCTTGTTCTTGGCCTTCTTCGACAACACCACGACCGCGGCCACGGCCGCCACGACCGCCGCGACCACGACCGCCGCGAGCCGGGACAACAACAGGGCCCTCAGGCTGCGAGGGGGCTTCTTCAGCAGCTGCCTTTGGCTCCTGCTTTGCTCGCTTCGGCTCTTTGGGCATGGATTTCGACCTTTGCTCTTTGTGATCCTTCTCCTTAGCATCCTTCTTGTCCTTTTTATCTTCTTTATCCTTCTTGGATTTCTTCTCTTTCTTAGCCTGATCCTGATCCTGCTTGTCTTTCCCCTCCTTCTTCTCCTTCTTACCCTGCTTCTCCTTCTTCTCCTTCTTCTCTTTCTTCTCTTTCTTCTCTTTCTTCTCCTTGGATTCCTTCTTGTCCTTCTTGTCAGGCTTGTCTTTGTCTTTGTGTTCCTTCTTATCATTCTTGATCTTGTCCTTCTTATCCTTCTTCTCCTTCTTCTCCTTCTTCTCTTTCGTATCTTTCTTCTTGTCGTCCTCGGGGGGCGTCTGGCCGGGCTCCTCTGGCTTTTCCTTCTTCACTGCTTTGAATCTCGTTACCCTGACCGTAAAATGACTAGAAGAGCTGCTAAGTTCGTCATCGTTCTTCTCGGCTTGGCCGGCTGTTGGCTCTGCAGCTGCTTCGTGGGGAGCTGGCGGGGGGCGGACGTCGATAGACGTGTTGCCGTCGCCCTTGTCGCCATCTGCCTCGAGAGACTCTTGGAGTTGCTCAAGCATCTTGCCTTCGGATGTGGGCGATAGTGGATTGGCCTCGTGTGCAACCACGGCTTCAGTTGATGATTTCTGGGATGGATCCGGGATCGGATGCTCCTGAGATGCCTGGGTCGCTTGGGTCTTGTCGGGTGTGGCTTCCCTTGCTGGCGGAGTTTTCTGCCTGGCTCGTCTGGTGGGTGTGGCTCCTTGCTGCACGCGTCCACGAGTGCCGTCTCCTTCACTCGTGGAGAGATTCCGTTGCCGTGACATCTCCTCATCTTGTTTAGCCTTGCACTTCTCCCACAGGCTCGGGAAATCCACCGCACACTTTCCCAGAGTCTTTCCTACCTGGGCTAAGGGCTAAGGTCTAAGGTCTAAGTGATAAGTGATAAGTGATAGATAAGTCTAAGTCCGTTTGAACGGTAGGATTGATAATTTATAGTAGGCTAGGATTTTGTAATTGTACTTGACTTTTGTAGTTGATAATTGATAATTTACAGACAGACCAGACTACAAACAGCTAAGGTTTTAGAACGAGCCATAAACTTAACTTAAGCGTCGAATTTTGTTCAACTCAGGCCGCGACAGCTTCTGCACATTCTTGACACAACCGCTTTGCCGACTCCGTGCGCAACTGGCTGTGCTCTGGGGTAACACACAAATCTTTCTCGAGAAGGGTTCGTAGTAGATCCTGTAAACTTTTGGCCAGTTTCTTTCCGCTGTCGGACTTGCTGCCCATCACCGGTGCCCGGAGGACTGTCACCATGGCATAAACCGTCAGATGAGTCACAAGGCACTGCCCGAGGCCTTGGGCATTCGTGGCTATGGACTGCCATTCTTTCAGATTTGCTGCCAGGCCAGAGGCCGCACCAACACCATCATTATTCACGGAGCTGGAACGAACCTTTTGCAGAATACCGTGAGCTTTCAAGACTTCTTGAGCAGTTTTCCGCAAACTGTTGCCAGAAGAAGCATAGGCCTCGTGGAGCATGGCCATGGCTTTCCTGTACTCTTCCTCATTTGCGGGGCAGAATTCGGGAATCTTGCCGAGCAGCTGGTTTCCTCTATCCTGCAACTTCTTCAAAGACTGTTGCTGCTCACCTCCTTTCTGCATGATTCTCTCGGTGATCTTGTCTCCGAGCCCATTCACCCAAGATTCGAACTCAGGAGACGCCAGCCTAGTGGCCGCAAATTTGCCAAGTGGATCTAGTTCCCACTCTTTCTGATATCGCTGGGCTGCTGCTTGAACATTAGACAAGCATGCGTCTTGAGACTCCAAGGCAGCCAGAAGATCTCCCAAAGTGGAATCCTTCTTCACGGCAGCCACTGTATCAGACGCAACCTTTCGTATATAGTCTGAAGCCAACAAAAAAATAAAGCTATTTGGATTTCACACTCAGGACATATACGAAACTACAGACTAAACGACCAAAGATATTGATATTGACATTGACATTACATAATGACTCATGACAGAATCGGCAATTCGCAACTGGACCCGACTCCCAGCCTTGAGGAACGACGGCAGCACGAGACGCCACAATCCACTCTTTCCGAGTGCTGCTGTGTTATCCTTGACCTCCGCCAACTGTCCTGCCATAGCCTCCAGGTCTGAGACCGCTGATATGCAACTCGAAATCATGCGACCTACATCCTGGAAGGCTGTCATGGCTTTGTCATGAAGCTCTTTCTGAGCGACTTTCACAAAAGTCGTTCTGAAACCATCAAGAATACCCTGCTCATCCACAAAAGCACAGACGAGCACATCACACGAGGTCCATTCATGTAGGAGATCAGACGTCGGATCTTTCATACTGCGAGTAGTCCCTATCTGCCCTATCTTGCTCTTGGCGAAGACATACTCGATGAGTGGCCCGCTGGTGTCACACGCCTTGGCATAGCTGTCGAAAAGCTGCGTCAAGGATTGGGGCAACTTCTTCAACCCAACGTCGCTCCAGAAGTCATGATGAAGGATATCCGAACACCTCATTGTCTTCAACGTCTCTTCCAAGTCAAACTCTTGGACTTCCTCTTTAGTGTTTTCGGCTTCCAGCCGATGAAGAAGATCTTCAATACATGAGCACATCGTGCTCGACAAGATGTTCTGGATTGCCACGGTGAGGACCTCCCAAAACTCTTTGATGATACTCTGAACCCTCAGTTTGTGCTTCTGCATAAGCTTGGATTCTTGTTTGGATTGTTTCAGCTTCCAGAAATGTGCGACCACATCGGAGATGGCATGACCGGTCATTTCGCCTTGAAAGTCCTTCACCTCTTTCAGGGCCGCTTCCAAGTTGCTCACATGCAGCTCTTCCTGGAGCTGGGCTTGTCCGGCTTCCACCTGGGCCTGACAAAGTGAGTCTTGAGGCTAAGGCTAAGGGATTGGGGCCTAGTTCTAATTCCTCAGATAAACTAGTACTACAGGCTACAGCAGATAAAGTATTATGAAAACTAATGTCAGGTCCTAGCCTTGCATTGGGAGATGATCTGCATGCCGATTTTGTGTTTCTGGAAGAATTGGAGGACTCCATCCTCTAAGACATCCTCCTCTGCCACTTTTGCAAACCTCTCCAAGGCACTGGCCATTCCCGAGATATCATCTGCGAGCAGATCACGGGTCAGCTCGCACGTGAATATGACATTCTCAAATAGGCTGTTGCTCTTCTGGTCACATACTTCCGAAGCCAGGTTCCTAGCCTGGTTCCGCCCCCAGGACCCATCTTTCAACACGTCCTCCTTGCCCAAAAAGGTCGTCATCCGACTTTCGACGTCCGCATGCACAAACTCGCGGACATTGTCCGAGACCCCCAGATCATTCAGAGCACAAACCTGAAATGAACAATATAATATAATATAAGTTTATTATTAATAGTGACAACGCAGTATTCGTCAGGATACCAATTTCACTCTAGTGTTGTAACCGGCGCTCGCATGGAGAGGCTCCGATTTCTGATTTAAAACAAACGTAAAGTAAACGTATAGGTAACGTAAACAAAACGTGAATTTGTTGCATGTCGGTGGCACGTTTCTTTCACGTTTTTTTCACGTTTGTTTCACGTTTATTTCACGTTTGTTTCACGTTCTTTTCACGTTTTCCCTAGGAAAACGTGAAACAAACGTGAAAAAAACGTGAAACAAACGTGAAAGAAACGTGAAAAAAGCGTGAAACAAACGTGAAACAAACGTGAAAAAAACGTGTCCCGCCCAGCGCCCGGCGCGCCCAGGCAGCCCACCCCGACCCACGCCGGCCCCAGCCCCAGCCCACCCCAGCCCAGCCCAGCCCCATCCCGCCCCAGCCCACCCCCAGCCCAGCCCAACCCCCGCGCCACCCATTCTGATCACGTTATATTTACGTTTAGATTAAATCAAGATGGCACAGTTCCTCCATCCAACGCCTGTTACAACTCTAGTGAAAGAACTTAAAGACTTAGTGACTTGACTTAGTACTACTTGTTACGAGTCTATGAGATAATTATAAGTTTGAATTCATAATCATCCAAAAGTCCAAAATCCTGAATGCATGCCAAGCGACCTCTTTGCTGTCTTCGCAAAGCACGCCAACATAATCCGAAAGGTTTTTGAAGAGGATCTTCTCATTCAATTTGCACTCCAAGAGCTTAAACCAAAAACAGGATCCAACACGAATGAGCCCGTTCTCTTTCAAACATTCGTACGGATCCTCAATGGCTTTGGGACCGCCAGTGGTCGAAGCCAAGGCCGTGTTCAAGTCCAAAGCATGTTGGACGAGCGACCGCAATGACTCAAAACCCTCAATCTCCGACTCGAAAGAGACTTTGTTTGGACTGTTCTCAATACGACGCATGGAGTTCTGGACGGAATTTGACACCCCGGTCAAAGACCGCTGTCGGGCGGCATGCTCCTTCTTGTCCAAGAAGTTGTAGTCATTTCCAAAACCGAGCTGACCCTCGAACTTGAGCTTGAGCTCCGCAAGCTCCTTCTTGAGGCTGTCTTTCAATCTCATGCCACGACCGTCCAAGTTCAACGTCTTTGCTGGCGAAGCGACGGCACCGAAATCATCGGAACTCGGCTTCTTCGCTGGCTGGCTCGGAGCGCTTGCTTTAGACGGCTGCTGCGATTGTGTCTTTTCCACTGGTGGCAATGAGACTGAAACTGTCGATCTTGTTGGCCCTGCCTTCGCGGTCGATGCTTTGGGAGCGGCTTTCGGTTGAGATTTCGCTTTAGCTTTCTTCTTTCCTGCCAAGCTTTGCAAACGTTCCTGAGCTTTGCCCTCATCGTCACTTTCGGAACTTGACTCATCCAGCTCTGCATTTGACTCATCAGAACCATCCGACTCCTTTTGGTCGTTGTCTGCAGGTTTTGCCAGGCCGGAGGCCGCTGTTGCATTTCCTCCAAGAACAGAGCTTTGCAACAGGGCCAGGATGCCCTCTGCATCATAAGACGTGGGAGCTGCCTCAACAGCCTTGGAGACACGTTCCTGATGAGTCTCAGTGAATGCCGCCTGTATGGCCACTTTCTTATTGGCGAGGGCCTGGTCAGCGAACATGGCTTTCGAATCCTTCTTGGAGTGTTCTTCCGTCTCCGTCCGGGCCTTTTTCGTGTCGAAGTTCCTGACATCATAACAACCCCTTCTTCCTCTCATCTTGTAGATTCCTTTGACGGTTTCACCGTTGATCTCCTGCGACTCATATTGATTACTTGTTAACAGTTAATAGCCCTATTCAGCCCAAAGCCCAAAGCCCTAACTAAACCGCTCACCCCCCCATAACCTAAACCCTGAAGCTGAAACCCTATGCCTATGCCGTAAGCCCTACTGAACTCCTCCTAAGCACTAAGCACCAAAAAGCCTGCCTCTTCCACGATTTTGGTCTCGTCCAGAACGCCGTCCTCCTTGGCATCCCATTGGGTGATATCGATGAACTGCATCAAGGGACCTTCGAATCTCACGCCCGTATCTTTCACCGTCTTTAAGGTAGAGGCGGTCTTCAAGTCCTCCTTTTCACGCTTCTTGGTGCGAGCCCCTGCCTGGCCACCTTTCTTCATTTTTTTCACGTACTCTGCACGACTCTTCAAAAACTCATCATGATCCACTTGCTTAGCTTCTACTTTCTTGAGGTACTCTGCCTGCGAACCATATTTGTGGGGGAAGCCCAACAAGCGATAGACGTTTCGGCAGATTCCGTCTGAGGCTCCTACTGGCACCCGGACCACGCCAGAGGCGGACTGCACTTTTCTGTATTTTCCCCACGCGATGCACTTCTCATCCCCCTCTGTGCTCGCTGCATCAGAGCAGCCACCGGTGCTTATAGGATTCGGGTCGCTGCTTTTGCAACCACAAAGTCCACAAACGCAGGGCTTCTTGGGGTGCTGTATGGGGATCGCGGAGTCGTCGCAGCAGCTTCTACCCAAGGATGTCTTGGATCGGGCGTCAGCTTCAAAGCCAAAGCAAGACTCCCCCCCATCGCCGAAACCATCCTGAACCTGTGAGTCATACTTACTTTAAAATTGGGGACCTGGGGGCTAAGCCGATATCTACACTACTACACAAGTTAGACTACAATCCACAATGCGTATGGTATAGACTCCGTATAGACTATGGCCTATGGCTAGGGCCTAAGGCTTTCTACTTGCTAATGAAACCATGCTAAGTTCAGCTGCTGTAATAGAAGACTTAAACACTCGAGGATCGGTAACATCCGGGCCTCAGCCGCCTTGCGCTTTTTTGAAGCCTGGGTTTGCTGAGCTTTTCTGGCTGCTGAGGGAGAAGCACTGGATGCCGAGCTGCTGCTGCTGCTGTCGCTATCACTAGCCATGGCTTGTCACGGCACACTCTACTGGTTGCGAACCTCCGAGGAAAGAGGAATCTATAGTCTATCATGATTCATGATCTATGCCTTCAAATCTCAATTCATTGACTACGGCATGGGACTGCCTCCTCGGGCGACACTAAAGACTTTCACTTTCAGGGCTCGGCTTCGAGCCTGGTCGTCGCTTCCAGCCAGCAGGAATGCTCAGAACTTCTCAGTGAGTTTTCAGCCTACAATGCCGATGCACGATTGCTTTTCCCCCTGGCTGCTGCACACAGCTCGAGAGATGTCGTTGGGATTGTTGCCGCTTGGCCCACGGCCCGTGCTGGAAATACCTTAGCTAGGCTCTGTGCCCAAGTGCTGCAAGTAATTTCTCAGAAAAGTACAACAGAGTTCTATCCGAATCTGAGAATTCCCAAATTGGTTTTACAATATTTGTAATATTTTCAGAAATATTTGAAACAATTTTAAAACTATTTTCAGAAATATTTGAAACAATTTTAAAATATTTCTAAATATTTAAAACTATTTTAACTTTTTTAAAAAAAACGGAATGTGAACACTAAACACAAATTAGTGTTCACAAAACCACAATTAGTGTTCACAAAACCACAATTAGTGTTCACATTTTAATAATTGAAATATTTCTAAAATTGTTTTATTTATTTGAAAATATTTCTAAAATTGTTTTATTTATTTCAAAATATTTCTAAAATTGTTTGAAATATTTTAAATATTTTTTACTGAAATTGAAAATATTTCGTAAATATATTCCAGAGGATCCGAAAATTTGTATTTATGTGGCCTTTGTCGTGCAAGATATAGGAATTAGGGAGGTCCAAATTCTTGGACGGAACAGAAGCCCCCTGCCCCCTCTCCCCTTTCACAATCAGCTGGAACGAGAGTCATTCTGAGGCATTACAAGCACAGCCCACTTTTTGAAACACTCCAATCAGGTACGCAGTTGCCACAAAACAACTAAGTACTTCTAAAACAAAACTCTAAGACTCTAAGACTTAAACTGTCAAAGAACACTTCTGAGCAAACCCCAATTCAAGAACACGTCCTGCTGCATGCATGTAATGTCATATTCCGAAGGAGGACTGCCTACTACGACTAATGTCCAGCCTGAGACAGAGAATGCTGTTATTGCAGACACGCGGCTACAGAAGAGACCCGTCTGCCTATCACTCCAGGAAGAAGATTCGCTGGGAGACCATGCAGTACCACTAGAGAAATCCAGCCCAGGACGGAGTCCGACCACCCATTAACTGAGGTAGGCTGCGACCTCGATATCCATTTCCTCCTCGTTCTTGCCCTCCGCGAAACTCACCAAACCCGGACCCCCCATCTTCACGTGATGGGTTCGCGGATTGGTTTGGGGAAACTCATCATCGTGCAAACCGGCACACAGCCAACGTTTCAGTCTCAGAATGCAAGTAGCATCATCCATGGTCCCATAGGATACTGCTTTTTTGCACTGGGTGCTGCTAGCCCCCTCACCTCTATCCCAATGCAGGTTGCAAATTGCACCCCAGCCAGTTTGTCTACCATGATGAGGTACAATAGGTGACAACATAAAGGGACCCCAGGGTATACCTCTTCGCTGGTTTCGGCGAACAGCCCGCTGGCCCGGGTCCTCAGCGACGGGAGCAGGCGGAGGGGGAACGGCAGCGGCAGCATCGACATCGCCTCCCGCACTTCTTCCAGCTGAGACAGCGGATGAAGATACATGACCTGCTGAACTCGAGGGCCTTTCCATATCTGGGCCTGGAGTCTCCGCTTGTTCAAGTCCCCAAACATCATCCTCGTCATCTCCGCTGAAATTCCCCTCCCACTCTGCATCATCAAACTCAGCTGCACCATCATCATTATCATCATTATCCTCTTCTTCCAGTTCGTCATCTCCGTCATCACCCGCAACAAGACGAGGACGGGCGGCTCTGCCTCTGCCACGACGTCTACCTCCGCCCCGGCCACGCATGTTCTGAGACCGCGGCCGTGGCCTCCTCTGTGCTCTCTGCAGCAATCGCACAGCCCTGAGTGCACGCTCTTGTTCCTTGAGCTGTGCTGCTTCAGACAGCAGATCTTGCAAATCATGAGGTAGCTTGTCACAAACCAGAAAAGAAGACAGGTCGTGTTGCAAATCCCCCAAAGTCAAACGAGATATATCCCATGTCCGACTTCTGGTTGCCAAAGATTTGCAAACGGATAGGTCATTGTTCCAAATGATGCTACCAGTGAGTCTCTCTTTCTTGAACTTGAGAGTGAACGGAGGGCTCGAATCCACTGTGAGATCTTTGTCCGAGTCCAGTTCCAGAAATATTGCATCGACATTTTGCATGTACGTGCGAAATGCAAGCATAAAGATAGCACTATCTTTCTGGTCCTTGCATTCAAAAAGAAGCGTCAGGGGCAAGGCACTGATGTTTTTCTTTGCTGGGTCGAATCTCTTGATCAGCACGGACAAGCACGTGTGCAAGCGGCCGAACACAACGGTCTCCTCTTCAGAACAATCCGCAACACAACTTGCATGCGGACAAGCTTGGAACAAAGTTCGATCATCACGAACGGCGATATCCTGCGCGACTGACATCGGTACGGCATGCGCCTGCAATATTTCATAGGCAGTTTCAAGTAATAAATAATAAGTAGTAATAAATAATAAGAATCGATCTCCCTGACCTGATCCAAAGGTCCAAAGACCTCATCTCGTAACTATTGGGCCATTGTACATTATAAACTGTATAAACTCAGCCTTAGCACGTAACACCACAAGAACCATAAATTCCCGCCTGACACCATCGATTCTGAGCCGAGGCAAACGTGTGCTGGGCCCGAAAATCGGTGAGAAATTTCTCAGACAACGGCCACTGTGCCGAGGGCTGAGATAACTTCCAAGGCCCGCCAGGGACATCGGGCGGCCGTTTTGCAGCAGCCGCCATTTGCAGAGCTGCTTTACGAGCATTGCTCTGCCGAGCTCGCTCGCCCCACGATTTCTTCTCTTCATCGCTCAGCAACTTCCACGCCTCCTGTGATTCTTCCAGGAACTGCCTTGATGCCTGGCTTCCACGACAAGAACCACTCATGGACTGACGTCTGTCTTGAGCAAATAGATGCATGCCATTCTGTCGTGCTACTGTGTCAGATTTACGACACCAGGAAGGACGACGAGACCAGCTCTGAGAGCGAGGTGCCTGGATACGATGTTTCCAAACCTCCACAGCATCTTGGAAAACCCTGGTGATGTGCTTTGCTGCCAGAAGAGCCAAAGAGACTCCCTTCCCCTTGACATCTGTCCAATGATTGAAATGAGCAAACCTTCTCTCCACAAAGGTTGATGTCAGTACCACTCTTTCAAACACGACGAACATGAACTCTCTCAACTCAGTGGACAAGCCTTGCTCTACCGCTCCTTCTCTCACGACCAAAGCCTTCAACTTGCCACTGAAGCCAGCATCCAAACAGCAGGCGGGGGCATTGCATAGTTCTCGAAGTAGTCTTTTCTGATAGTCCAGATCTATGTCGGGGAGCGATAGTTCATACAGCTTCCATGGATAGGAGAGGAAAGGCTCGATCACTTTTCTTGCCAACTGACCAATAGTGAGCAATATACTTCTCAAAGCAATTCGCTTCCGGGCCTGAGGCCAATCTTCGAACTCGCCGAAGAAGAAACACAGCAACCTGAAAGCCGAACTTGGGTCCTCCAGCTGGAATTGAAGTTCCTTCATCACTTTCTTGCCGGGGTTCTTGGATGGAACACAAAATTGCCCTACTGTCAAGATTTGCTCTTGTACGTCGCTGGCTGTTGGACCCGGCTGCTTTCGGCCTCGATCTGAATACCACGTGGCTGTCTTGAAGAGAATCCAATGGAGCTTCATGCACGGAGCTGCAACAAGAACCCACAACATATTCAGGAATCGTGCTTGCCCATCACAAAGGAAACTGGTTGCTTTTGCATTGCGTTTTTTTGCTAGCTTGATCCATCGCTTGACTTCATTGATTGGAACATGCAGGGCCTCATCATCTGCATCATCGGAACTATCCAGCTCGGAGAGCGAATGCACCTCTCGATCTCCAAATCTCTCCCGAAAAATAGACTGGGCCACATCACTGAAAGACCCGAGAAGCACACACGCGCCGATGCACGGAAAGACCTTCGTCCACTTGTTCAAGGCCGGGACAACAACAGGTCGAAGTAAGCACTCAGAAACCAGAGATGACGCCTTGACTCTCGCTTCGGCCTCATCTCGGCAGCATCCAGCGCAAACGTGAGTTGGTGGTCCTGCATCACGAACGAACTTTCTATGTCTCTTTCTTGCTGGACGATGGATAGATGGAACATCATTCGAACAAGACTGTTCGTGTCGTGTCGATCTAGCAAAGACCAGCAGCAAAGACTACACGACTGCATGACTTTATGCATTCGACATCAGTTCAATTATCCTAGAATACCGCAAGTATATGTATAAGAAAATATTCTGTCATATGAACCTGAATATGAAATGTGGATATCGGAGGGGCTGAATCACTGGCAATCATTGGGGCATTGGGGTCACTGGGTTCTTGATTCTTGATTTTCGACCCCAACTAGATAATAGTTAGTTAGAATAAATAACAAATTATGTAAAGTACAGCTTCAGTTGCAACAACAGTCGAAGCAGGACTCAAACTTAACTGCGAAGAGTCTGTAGACTTGACTCCTTGATATAAAGGCATGTTGCAGAGCCGACTTTTTGGGCACGCCACAGCCACTGTCGCACACCATGGCAAGTGGCGATTGACCTCTGTCAGGGTCGACAGAAATTCCTCATTGCCAGGAACGTGGTCCGAGACCCAGAATCAGAATGTTCCTACAATCTGATGCTGAGTCAGTGCCTGCATTGGCATTGAATATAAACTCGACCCATCCCTGGCAATTTGGGGCTCTTATAGCACGCCAGCTCAGCTGGAAAATAGCTATGTGGAGCTGGAATGAAATGCACCCGGAATCATACCCGTGAATC